ACTTTACACAGCTCAGTTCCATAGACGTATGCCCTTGTGGTTCTACATTAACTAGTGTAGAATACTGGAATAATGAAGTCAGGAGGCTGAGAGGTCATTCAGTTCAACTCTGTCATTTAGGTGTACAGTGAATTTAGCAGACATGTCCAATGTCATATAGCTCACAAAGAACCAAGGTAAAGATTTGGTAAGTATTCTATGACTTATGAATGCTCTAGGTTGACTTACATAAAGAAAATAATTATAAACTGACTTTCAAGTCTTCACATCTTCACATCATTTGTAAAGTATGCGAGAATAGGACATTAGACGGCTCTCTAGGGGCATTTTCAATATAGAAAATACCTCAGAAAATAATGTAAGAAAGAAAGGCAAACAAAACTTATTCCAGCTAAAGCATTTATTTGAAAAGTATTTGATGAGTTAATATAAAAATTTCAGTAAGTGTTTCTTGACAATCTGAGTTTTCGATGTTTAAGTAGTTATAAAACACTGACCTGAACGTAATAGCACTCACAATATGATAGCCAGTTTCTTCCCAACGCCATGAGATTTGGTCCTGTTACTCATTGACCTTATCTGACTTGAGAACCTGAGGAGAGGGTGGCAATCCTTCTTCCAAGGTCATACCATTTGTAAATAGCAGCACTGGCAGTCTGGCCCCCAAGTCTGTGTTCTTAGGCCCTGAACCAGATGGCCACTGGCCACACTGTGAAGCAATCTGCTTATTGACTTACATGCGTGTCCTTAGTAAGCAGTGGAGACAGGGCTTTATCCCGATCTAATCTACTTTAGAGTCAATGTTCTTCCTAATCTTGCCTCTCACATTATCCCATTTACACCTCTTTATAAGATCCTGCCTGCTCCCCTCTTCACTTTGACTCTGCAAGAGTCATTAAGATAAGGTATAGGTATGAGGAGGTCTCAGTCCAACACAGACACCATACAAGCAGTGCTAGGAACGCGATCCTCACCACAAGCCCCTAGTCACTGAACAGCTCTGGAGCTTTCTGGAAGATGTTGACTCCTTGGGTGTCCCACCTTTGTCCTTCCAAGAAAGGACTGTGGTTGATATAGTCAGCACTAAACAGGAGAGACTGAGCTTTAGTCTCAGAGCAGCCTCCGATGGGGACAGGCCACCATACAGGCTGGACCCATGATGCTTACTCTGTCTACTGAGCCCACACAGTCCTCTCAACGGCCTGGGATCAAGCATGACAACAAATTGATAAAGAACTGAGTGAGGTTCAGAGCATTAATTCCACAAAAGTCTTAAAAGATAGTAAACAACAACAACAACAAAAAGTTAGTAAACATCCCAAAAGTGTTCCACTCCCTAATCTCCATATGCACTGTACTAAGTTGCATCCAATGTCCCTTTTATCTTCCTAACCTCAGAATCCTAAATATAAATTTCCAAAGAGCCCCAAGAATTCTTTGAAGGTATCTCATTTTGGAAAGGAATTCCAATGGGACAGGGTTTATAGAGTGTTGCCTTCCTCTGATATGTGTATGTGTATGCACATGCACACCACACACACACACACACAAACCACATATTCACACCACACACACATCACACACACACACACACACACACACACACACACACACACACACACACACACACACACCCATACCACATACCCCCAAACAGTGCATAGTAATGCTATTTTGACATGCCAATTAAATCAGTTTTCCATATTTTGTGCTTAAAGAAGTTTGTGGACCATTTTCAGTATTGATCTTTAAACATTCCACCCCACCACCACCCCAGGTGTAGTATCTAGAAAAGGATTTGGGTGGTAAAGACATAATAGCTTGGCACTCCTGTCCGAGGAGACTTTGCAGTCACCTATCAGGGTCAATTCTGACGAACCTTATACTTTGAAAGTAAAGGACATGCTGGATCAGCCCCTGACCCAAACACAGTATGAGATAATGTGTAATCATATTGGTGAAGATGACTTTCCTACCCAGAGCTAGTCTGCGAGAACACTATCATCCCCAGAAGGCCTCAGTTAGTCGGAGGTGAGAGTCATAATGTATTTGTGGCATCGTTCTAAATTACTTTTGTCTTTTTCCCTTTCAATCTTGCTTCATTTTCTTTTTCCTGTCTGCTTTTAATTGTACCTCCTTTCTCCCTCCTTCCAAATTCAGCTCCTGGACTAGGAAGAGGTGGTCTGTGCTGTAAGAAATAAGTTCGGTTACTCTCTGAAGTCCTGCTTTAACAGTCTCTGTATTCCTGCAAACAGTGGAACATTAGTGTGGTGAAGGCAGTTAGTGCACAGGCATTTTGACAAATGCAAAGAGCAAGTTTTGTGTTTCTCTGTTTCCTACAGTGTCTACTGCTTTATCTCAAGCTATATGAGTAGGAAAGAATGGCGCCAATGAATAATCCAGTGTTAATCATACTGATGGTGACAGCATCTTTAAAGAAAGCGTATTGAGGTGTCCTTTATGTACTTCAGATTAACTTATTTTTAGTGGGAAGTTCAATGAGCTTTAGTAAATGTGCAAAGTTCTAGAAGTACCACCATTGTCCGATTCTATAACACTTCTACTATATTGAAAAGAGAGATACTCTCTACTCCCATCAGTCTCGGGTAATCACTAATTTACTTTCTGTCTCTATAGACTTGCTTTTTCTGAGGGAAAGACATTCAATATAAATAAAATCATATTTGTGTGACATTTTATGACTTATTTTAGTTAGCTTATTCTTTTTAAAAGTCATCCATATTTTAGCAATAATAAAAACAACCTTTTCATATAACACCCTTTGTATGGCAGCACTAGGTAAAGAAGAGAGTAAGATTTCAGAGGAAAGGAAACGTGCGGTTCAATCCAGTCTGTGGCACTTTTGTGCTGAGTCTTTGCAGAGCTCCCTAGTATCTCTGAGACAGAGTTTCAGACCAGGAACAGCAATCCTTCTCTCAGACGATGGATAATAGACACTCAATAAACTCAAGTCTCTCCTTTGTCCAGCAATCTGTGTACTTCTCACCCCCTGCCTCAAACTGTGCAGTGGATCTGACAGCCTCCCTACAGCTTTCATGTCAAGTTTGGAATGAGAAGCACATAATAAAACAATATCAGAAACAGGATTCCACCAAAGGGAATCATGTCCTTCATTAGTAGAGCCCAGATGGTAAGGAACTAAGGGGATTTCCTTCAATTATATACTGTCACTTCTTATAAAGAATGTTAAATTGTATTGAGTTATTTTTTAAAGGGGGACTGTGTCCAATTCTATGCTAGACTATTGTGCAATTTATGTTTATAGAGATCTAAGAATACCCTTGTTCCCCACCAATTCTTATAAAACCGCCTCCATTAGCATTAACCCCAGATTAACAGATAAGCAAGCAGCAAAGGGTTGCCAGGTTCAGGGTAAATCCAACCCACTTCGCATCCTCAACTCTCAACATTTATCCAGTATGGTCAGATCTTCCCTAAGTGATTCAGAGAGCTCAGTTCACAAGGACAGCAAAAATCAACTGACTTGAACCCCTGCTCATTTCTCCAGCCCCCCTCTCTGATTGGAATATGTTCTCATTTTGAGTGTCCACTAAAAGGGGCTCTGGATATGACCCCATCTTGAATTTATGGAGATGCTCACATGTAGCTATGAGCATCAAGTTCCTGTCCAAACCTACTCTCCGCCCCAGCCAATGTTTCTCCACTTTTCAGTTCATCGTTACCCCATGTCACTCTGCATGTTGTTTTTTCTTGGTGTTTGTTATTGCTATATTCTGACTCACATGCTTCCCCACTACTTCCCAGGTTCACTTTCTGTTAAACACAGTGCAGTAGAAAAGGCTACAGCTTCTTCATAGCACTCCTAAATAAAACAGGTTTGCATGGTATTTTGTGTATCCCTCCCTTCAAGTAAATGAAACTTAACTTTTTCGTGAAATAAATTCCTATTGTCAGACATAGATGAGTTATTTTTAAAAAAATTAACATGATTTTCTCAACTTTGTATGCCAGTAATGTTATAGTATATCATTGAAGATGGGAAAGAAGGATATTAATTCTGTTTCCTAAGCGATCGGTCTGCAGCATCATCAGGTAAATAGATGCAGCTACTCTTGTCTTATGATAAAGCCACACTCACAAAGAAAAACCGGACCAAGGCTAGATCAGGACTCATCAAGCACTTACAGTGTCTCTGAAAGGAGTCTCATTACGCCTCTGGGTGTACCTAGTTTGACCACGGCAACTGTTGTCAAATCGCTGCTTCTTTTCCCGATCCTGAGGTCCAGATGGAGAAGATGGGATCCCAGAAAAGGGCTTTTCATTTCCTCCATTAGCATCTCCCGTGGATTTGAGAATCCACAAATGTGATAGAAATAAATAAAAATAAGGCGTGGGGGATACATCTAGCTGATGTTAACTCAAATTTGTCAGTATCCCTGATGTGCAAAAACAAAACAAAACAACAGCATTGACAAAACACCTTTACTTGGGTCAAAAACCTCCCTTTCACATCTAGTAAAAGAATATACTGTTTGCCTAAGATTTTATTTTACTCACTTTAAGCAGCACCATAGGAATGTATCATGTGGCATAAATAGTTTACTAAATCTGAGATTTAGCAGAGATTTTTCTCTCTCCAGCATCCACCTTTTTCCAGCAGATTACAAAATCATCTTCAAACAGGATAATGTAACTTTAATGGACACGTATCCCCCTCCCCGAAATTGTAAGCTCCCAATTCCAATTAATTAACTGAAAGTTAACTTTTTAAAACTCAGTTAATGACCAAAATCACACGTGTGCATATATTTGTGTTTGTCTATCGGTCTGTCTTTCTTCCTATCTATCATCCCAATCACACAGCTTTCAGATTAAGGGCTCTCTCATCTCGGGATGATTGGTTAAAATCAGATTTGCTTTGTAGCGATCATTCTGAGGCTCCAGTCATCACAGAATTCTGCCAGCAGCATCCATGCATCATGTACACGAATTACCAGATAAAGTCAAGCGTCTCCTACCCTGAGATGGCAGCCAGCTTCTGGTGTGCCTGACGGGCCATTTCACAGCCTTTGGTTCTTGTCTTGTGCATTTCCGCCCGGAGCGAGGGGCAACTGACCGAGACGTCCCCAATAGAAATGACCAACTCTCGGTACAGGGCCACTTGTGTGTTGAACTCTTGGACAAGCTGGAAAACAAGCCAGTTTCTTTCACTGAACATTCACTTATCATCAGACACTTCACTATTTTCGTGTTCATAAACAGATTTCACTGACCTCTGTCTGGGTTGGCACCCCAAATCTCCAGCTAACGAACCTGTTTTAAAGCTCAAGACACAAAGTGGCGAGTCTCTTTATCCAACGCCAATGTTTATTTTTCCTCAGCAAGCTAGCCATGGAAAGCTCCAATTGCGGTCCCAATTGCCCCCACTTTCAGACTCGGTTTCTGAAGAGCAAGAACATCTTTGAGAAGCTATCAAGCCACTCCCAGGCCACTGGAGAATGATGCCGAGGGCTCTGAAATAGATGTTCTCTCTGCTCCTGCTAGGATACTGATTTGAAGTGACACACACACACACACACACACACACACACACACACACACACACACACACACAAAGTAGGACACAACAGGCAAACCTTTCCCTTCCTGCCGGGCCGCTGAACGCTTCTGGTTTGGACCCTGACAGAAAGACTGGCTACCTCCTGTCCTCTGCGCTGGGACCCTTCATCGCCTCTGCAGCGCTCCTGGGCTCTGTTTGGGTTTGTTTGTGACTGTGTCACCACCAAGCCGCACCCCCACCCTCTTTCCCTAGCGAGCCAGCCGGATCACCCTCCTTTGCGTCTACCATTCTTCCCGGGGTAGAGGCATCACCTTTAGCCTCTGACTCCCAGGATCCAGACCCATGACTCTTGTCTTGGCAGGGCCATTTCGACCTGGGTGTCACCCCGCATCTGGGGGAGTGCAGATTTAAAAATAGTACATCATGCACGTGATCGGCATGGCGAGGCAGGGTGGGGAGTGGTTGGCACTCAAGCAAACGATTAAGATACACGACTCCCACCCCCCACCCCCCCGAGGGAGAAAAGGAAAAAAAAAAAAGGGAAAAAGGCGCAGTTTTCACCCACCATCTTGCAGTCGTCCAGGGCTCGTTGGGTTTTGTGGGCGCTTTCGGAGCCGCTGCCCCTGCGCTCCCAATCCCCGCTCTGCAGCGGAGGCTTGCTGATCTGGAAGATCGAGGAGCGGGTGGACCGGCTGGGGCGCTTTTTGCGCCCATTCGGTGCAGAACTCATGCATACACATCCACCAAGCCGAAGCCGCTGGTGCAGTGCGCCCCGGCGCGGGCGGCCCGGTGGTTGCCCCTGCACGCCGCCGCGGAGCAGCCGGAGCCCCGACCCCGAGGCGCGCGCGGCTCACAAGGTTGCGGCTGGCTGCGCGGGTGGGTAACCTTCAGCTTGAAGGAGAGCCGGGGAAGCGCTGCCTGTGCGGTGCAGCATCGCTTCCACTAGCAGCGACGAAGAGGCGCGATCAAGTTCTGCTCAGCAGCATTGCCGACCCTGTCCCGGGAGCTGGACGCTGCTGGCGCGGGCTTGCACCGCCTTCCTCTCGGCATGGATTGACAGGCTGAGCGAAGAGGAACGCGCCGCCGGGCGGTTCCGAGTTTCCATTCAGATGGGGGAAGCAGCGTTCAAAAGCCTGCGCTGCAAGGTGGGGGGCGGGAGGGGGTGTCTCTCTTGCTTCGGTGTCTTCCCGCAGCGGTGCGCGGTTCGCTTTTCCCCTCCCTCCACGGTCGCCAGGCCTGGAAGGGGCCAGCTGTTCCGCAGAAGGCAACTGGCGCTAATCTGCGCCTTGATCCCTGGTCTCTGCTGGCTGCTCTGTGTGAGGATCCCAGATGAATCCGTGGCGGGACTGGCAGACGCACGGAGTCGGTCCGGCTGACGTTGGTCGTGGCCCGGCACATTGATAGGACAGGAATACTAATGTGATCCGTCCATACAATCTCCTTCCCTTCCACAGTTTATGCACTTATCCAATCAAATTCCCGGGAACATCAATTGCAATATTACTTCATCTGCTCTATTATTAGAAGCGAAAAAGTGTCATCAGAGTGGAGAACATTGCCACATGCTGGGACCTAAACATGGATTTCAAACAAACCGATTGGGGCTTGGGGCCGCTGTCATCTGAGAGGAGACTTTTCAGGGGCCATAGGAGGCAGCGAGGTATTTTGTTTCGAATAAAGTCTCTTGATAAAGTCCAAGGATAGCCTTGTTTCCCTGAGTTGCTTTTGTTTGGTCTTTATTCCTGGGAGGGGCAGTGAGGTGAAGGCACAGCCTCGTTCACTCAAGTTGGAACTCATCCTCACCCCCACTTCAAGCAACACAAACACAAACCTCCAAGAGTTTGCCAGCAGAGATTTGAAGAAGTAAGGACCACACACACACAAAAAAATATCTCCCCAACTCACAAAATGACCCTTTCTCCTTATGCCTTACGTGAGGTCAGAGTCAGAAACAATGTCAAGAAAAGATTATCTCCAGAAAGACGTGGGGTTAGGTCCTCAGCCAATCTGTTTTTCCCTGACCACTGACTTTGAAACAGTCCTCTTGGAAGGAAGAGGGAGTGGCAAGGTCCTTCAATTCTGATGCCCTGAACACTTGCTCCCAGGAGAGGAGGGCTAAGTGAACTTGTGATCCAGGGGAAGTAGTTATGTACTGAACAAACCTTGAAGAATGAATCAGAGGTTCCTGGTGACTATCTTAGGTGAATGCGGACAGTACACAAAGAGAGAAACTGGAAATGGCCAGGGAGGTGATATCGTAAATGGATCTTTGAAATACCTCCAAACTTTTTTCTTTAATTTTTTTTGAAATTAAAACATAATAACATCATTTTCATCCTTCCCTTTATTCCTTCCACCTCTTCCGATGCACACACCCCTCACCCTTAAATTCATGGCCTCTCTCTATTTTTCTTTTAATGGTCAGATTAACACATTGAGCTGGTGTGGGATAATAAAGAAGCATGTTTGGCTTTTGTCTCTGGTCCTGACACAGTGCTCCTAAAACCATTGTACTGTCTGAGTGAAAAGGGGTAGCAGGAATGTCTTGTTGCAAGGAAGACCAATCCTTAAGTAGCTCAGGACTTTCAACCCTATTCCCAGCTTCCAGAGAAGGAAGAGTGGTAAAGAGAGTTCACCATCAATGACCACTTCTTTATGTAGTCTTATAAAGAAACCTGTGAGAAACCCTTCACCCAGATGGCACTGGGAACTGCCATGTTGGGAACAACACCTAGGTGCTAGGAGGATGGCATGCCCAGCACAGATGTAAAAACAGCATCCTATACCTTGCCCTTCTAAAAATTATATATATATTATGTGTGTGTGTGTGTGTGTGCGCGCGCGCGTGCGTGCGTGCATGCATGTGTGTGTGTGTGTGTATGTATTTCAGAATTTCATATGTGCACAAAATGTTCCTCTATTACCTCATCTCTAGTTCCTCCCCATCCCCCCACTACTATTCCCTCTCACAAGTTCATGTGTTCTCTTTTTCTTTTTAAACCCAGAGTCCACTTGCTACTATCAGTATGTGTATGGGTATTAGAGCCATCTTCTGGATCATGGGTAGCCTCCTGGGGGCTACATCTTTGACAAAACTTACCCTCCCTTTTCCAGAAGCCATCAAGTGTCAATAGCTCTTGAGCTAGGGGTAGGGCTTCAGGACCCCTTTCTTGTCCACAAAGAGTTTTTTTTTTTTTTTTTAAATCTAGGCTGCTCTTGCTTGGGTCTTGGTCATGCCACTGCAATTGCTGTGAGTTTATATGTAGAATTGTCCTGTTGTTTCTGGAAGACACTGCTTCTCTGAAGTCATCTACTGTCTCTGCCTCTTATAATGTTTTCATTCCCTTCTTCCATGATGATCCCTTAGCCTTGGAGAGGAGAGTATGTGATATAGATGTCCCATTTAGAATTAAACACTCTGTGGTCTCTTATTCTTTGCCCATTGGCCAATGGTAGGTCTCTGTGTTAATTGAAGAAGGGATGAGCCAACCTGCCTCCATCTTAGATTTGAAAGCCATGTTGTAGTAAAGACAAACTAGGTTCATTCCTGTTTATGATTAAATATGTTTCTCAAGGATCAGGCTGTGCCCACCTGTAACCTTCTCTACAAATGGTTCTGTACCACATATTCCAGGATTTGGCAGCCATAACTGTGTCTCAAAAGGTGATTATGGTCACCTGCTGTTATGACCACCTTGTTATGACTACCTTGTTAGCACTACTCTGTTTTGACCACCTTGCAACCATGTCTTTCAGCCTTTCAGGAGGAGGATGTTATGACCAACTTGTTATGATTATGGTTTACTTCTGTAACCCCACCTATTTGCCTGCCAAATCTCACATTGGAAACCCCCTACTCCTGTTCTATAAAAGCCCTTATCTTAACCTATGTCCAATTCTGATCTCTTGAGCCCCATTTTTAAGGAGAGACAGCCCATGTACATGAATTTTAAAAAAAAAAACATGCTTTAACTAATTGGTTGCTTTAACTAATCTGGCTATGATGTGAGACAGTGGCCTTTGTCCTCAAATCTGTGGAGTTAACAGAAGTGTCTCTAATGAGCCTGAAAAATGCACTTATTTATGACTATAATGATAAGTCGTAAGCAGTTGGTTTAACACAATGTCCATTTGGCAAAATAATTGTAGTAGGTCCTTCCCTAGGGCCTATGACCTACTTAGCCATGGAATCTTGGCCTTTTAAATATCCAACATGAGTTCCATCTTGTGAAATTGTTGTAAAGTCCAATCAGAAAATGGCTGATTATTCCTATTACATTTACCCACTGTTACATATCTTACCAGGCTAGTCTTTATTATAGCTCATAAGGTTCACAGATAGTTAAGAATAATGATTATGTATCTTCTTTGGTACTTTGGATAGCGTCTTCCAGTACTATGAAGCTAGTTAGTAGGAATGAAGCTTCCAAGTAGGACACTAGTTTGATTTCACCATGTCTTATGACTCAAGAAGAGGTGTCATCTGCAATAGGCCCTTATGATCAAGTTCTGGAGGATAACCAAAATCAATGACAATAGCCTGCAGTGTTTGTGGGTCTAGGGGATCCCATTGACTAACAACTCTAAACGAAATAAGCCATTCCTAACACTGGGCATTTTATTTTATAGTCTATGCTATTTAGGAGAGGTACCCTATCCCATTTTAGGATGACTCCATTTAAACTCTTTTTATATATCTATGTGCATATAATATGGAAAACTTATACATCAGTAAGATTCCATATGGAGTTTTCTAAGGTCTCAGGTTACCTTGAATAACACTTAAGACTGTCAAAATTTAAAAAATTTATTTTATTTATTTATGAAGGGAGTGGGGTGCATGATACATGTGGAAGTCACAGGACAACATTTGTAGGAGTCATTTCTTCTCTTCTTCCACCATGTGGGTCCCAAGGATGGAAATCAGGTACTCAGGCATGATGACAGGTATCCATACTATACTTTCTGAGCCATCTTACTGACTCCAAATGTGTCCCTCTTCTATTTGATGTTCCAGGATGACATGCATGTTTCAGTAATAACTGGAAATCATTCCTGAGTTCTGTGAGTTCTTGCTGTGAATATAGGGTCAACTCTAGGTATTGAGTGCTATAATGATTTGAAAAGTATGGTACCTCATTGTTCTCAGTGGGAGTGGGATTGGAAAAGACATTATTTATTTGGTTGTGGAGGAAAACCAAAACCTAGCAGTTGGCTATCTGAATGAATACCCAGGTTCATTTTCATATTATTCCACAGAAGACAATCAGTTTTGCCACCGACACTAGAGAAAGGAGGTCTCAGTGATTCTTCCCCATCTCTGTGTACAGCTACCTCTAGGCACATCAGCGTATGTAAAAGGGCTCACTTGTCTCCAGTCTTTCCCCCAATACAAGAAGATATGTAAGGTTAACCTTCAGCCAGCCCCTGGACTTTTTCTCTAGCTGAAGTCTCAGTGTGCTGTCTGCTTCATGTGTGTAGGGAGGAAGGGCTGAAGAATTGACAAATCACATAATTGGGATTTGGTGGGTGATGAGGCTGAAGGTGGCGAGGGATAAGGCAACAGAGGGACCATGGAACTCTAAAAAGCCTCGGGCAATGCCCATTTGTTCATTCTTTAAGTAAACCCTACTTGTTACCATTAACTTATCATCATACAATCCCTCCACACACCGAAGAGACCCCGCTGTAGCCCAAGGTTGATAGGGTTGAGGAAAATAAAAGGAATGGAGGCGGCCTTTTCTGGCATGTGGCAAGAGGATGGAGAGCAGGGCACTGGCACTCAGTGTGCTGGTAGTCTTGCCACTCTTCTGGAATTTCACCCCCCTCTCTTTGCAGGAAAATAGTGACTTCCACCAGATTTGAGTACTTCAAGCTCCTCAGTAGTGTCTTTCTACTCCAGCTACAGCCATCTGGTTTTTACCCTCCCCATTCTGCCTAGAGATAATTTCAGCAGATTAAAAGGAAAAAAATAGGCAACATAATTGCATTACCCTGTTTCCATGCAGGAGGTGGGAAAAGGGGGGAAATGAGACGTTAAGGAGTCAAATGCAGTTGCCATATCTTAAGGATGGCAGACTTGCGCACCTGCTGAGGATTAGGCAGAAATTGTCACTTGCATGTGCCCTTTGCCTTTCCCTGATACAAGCCATTTTCCTAAAAGGGGGAAAAACAGCATCAATTCCAGAGCTGTCTCTCCCAGCTACAAATGCTGTAATCAGAATAGCAGCAGGCAGGCTTAGTTCCCTCACCTTCCCCCACACTCCAAACAGCAGGAATTTACATTCCTGGGGCTGTCTGACTTCCAAGCAGAAGGATAAAGTACAGTTGAAAATCTCAGTAAGAAGGACATGCTTTTCTAGTTACCTAAACCTAGGTTGGAAGGCTGTCTGATCACGAGTTCCCTACAGGTCATAAGGCTTTGACAAAGGTCACATCAT